ATTGTACAAGGATTGGTTTACTACACTAACTAGGAGTGTTTTTTATTTTTGTTTCTTGGGCACTACCCTTAATACTAATTATTCTTTAAATAATTCCACGGTTGGCCCAACTCAACAATTGATTGGATAAATAACAGTATTACGTAATATGAACGGAAATAATTTTTTTTTAAAGAAACTCATCAAGTTGGATTTGGAAACTTACGAACCAAGAAAACCCTACTACATATGGGTTTCTATTTTTCTTCTTAAAAAAGGCTGTCACTTGTCAGTTGGATTTGGAAACTTGTAAACCAAGAAATCCCAGCCCTTATCCTAATCCTAATCCTAATCCTAATCCTAATCCTAATCGTATTTGGTTTAAATTCTGAAGAAATCGTAGTTCCTTTTGTTTTGTATGTTTAAATTTTTTATTTTTTATTATTTGATACAAATGTGTGTGTTTCTTGATTTACCCTCTTAGTTTACTCTCCTAATTTACTCTCCTAATCACCATTCTCTAATTTATTGGAGCAAAAGTTTCATTCAGATGCAACATAAAAGATGTCAAAATGAGAGAGAACAAAACTGCAATGTCACAAATGTACATCAATAAAATGTGTTTTAAGACAAAGGTATATTAAATAAGAAAAATTAGTGTATAGTGACAAAAAACTTTAGTAATTAGCATATGATACCTTATCTATTTTTGTTTTGGATATGGTGGATGAGTTTTAAATTTTATTTTGTTAAAAGCCAATGGCCCTACCCATGTGCTCTTTAAGCTTGTTTAATTTGTATTTGAAATAACATTTTTACACTTTGTATTTTATATGGGAGCCAGGTGACGCCCCAGCTTTGGATTCAATCCCAAAACGGAGACCACGAGGTTGCAACCACCACCAATGACAACCATGGCTAAGAAGGTCACTGCAAAGCGCCAGAGAAAGGCCTTTTCCTATGGAGAAGCAATAGGAGGATCGACAACGGAGAAGGTGTCTTTCGTCGTTTTCCGGCGGAGAAGCAATCGATGACGGAGAAGATGTTTTCTGGCGGATAAGCAATTGATGACGACCATGGCACGTCCTGGCGTCATGATTGCCCGTGGAGAAGGCGTTTTCCGGTCCATGGAGAAGCAATCGGAGGATCGATGCCAGCGGATTCGCAAAGCTCGGATGCAACTAAGCAGATTTATATATCGTAGTGTTTTTCTGTCATTTGCTTCTATGCAATGACTATTGATCAGTAGTTGGTTTTGGTTTCTTTCCTCATCTTCCTTACTTTTGTTTTATGTTAAAACTCATGGTTATATTTTTCTAGGAGAAAGTGGTGAATGATGCCAGCTAAAATCTAAAGATGAAGATCCACATATAGAACACGCTGCCAACTGTGCTGGAATCAGCTATCTATGCCCAACCCTGGTGGCGTGGAGTGGGGAACAGTTCATCGTCAAGTGAAAGTGCTCCGGCATCATCTTTGGTGGATCATTGTGATAGTATGGTCATGAATGGAGCTATGCAGTCACAAGCTAATGCTAGGCTGGATGGTGGGGCCAACTTCAACAAAGAATTGCGGACTACAGTAGGATCACAGTCTGGTAGTTACTTTTGCATTATCATTTCCCATGGGAAATTTTCATGTGAACTTCTTTTTCTGAATTGGAAATTTTCACCGTTGCTACTATACGAAATTGACTATAAAGTAACCATTCTGAGAAACCTTTCTTTAAAAAAAATAATATATATTTATAATTATTTACTAAGCCTTTGTCTTCTTTGTGAGATTGAAGGACAGAATGCATCATCAATTTGACATCCTGACCAACACCTTTCAATCTGTGAAATAAAAGGAAATTTGAAGGTTTTTATAATTGTGATAGTGCTTATGATCTAAACTGAATAGAATAATACGTGAATTTTTTGTGTGTTACTGAAAATTTTGTAAAAAATACGTGAATAAAACATTAGAAATACGTACATACATGTACAATACGACTATTGTATGTTTGTTTTTTTAAAAACGTAAGACGTGTATAGAACACGAATGTATTATTGAAAAATACTTATATATATATGTATGTACGTATGTATGTATGTATGTATGTATGTATGTATGTATATGTATGTAAAAGACTATAGTCGCTAGTCTATACTATTTATTAAAGACAATTTATAAAAAAACCAGTACCGCGGCCCGGCTATACTATTTACTAAATAAAAAGAACTAGCAGCTGCACAGCGCTTAGGCGCCCATGTGTAAAATCGTATAGCCACGGCTATACTATTTTTAAATATAAAAACAAAGGAACCCCCTTCAATTAGGCGCCACATGTAAATACACGTCTATTTAAAAAAAAAAAAACACGGAGTATAGCTGTCCGGCTCTACTATTTTTTTCAAAAGAACACCCTCTATTGATTAGGTGCCACGTGTCAATAATAAGTGTAGCTGACCGTCTATACTATTTAATTAAAAAAGGACCCTCTAGTTGCTTTAGTTTGTACCTTATAAATATTAAGTTGATAGTTTCAATATATCCAAAGTAGATATTAATCTTCCATTATGATATTTTTATATAATTTTTATAGCATAAGTTATTCCTGTTCAAGAATATGTGAGAATTATTTTTATAGTACGTGAATTTTGTGTGTCTTATTGAAGAACGCGGAGATAACGTACCAAAGGCTTGTCAACCGAATTTTTGCTAAACATATCGGCAACATCATGGAGGTATACGTTGACGATATGTTGGTGAAAAGCAGAACGGCAGGGGAGCATCTAGACAACTTGGCCCTCATGTTCGGTATACTAAAGGACTACCGCATGAGACCAAACCAAACGAAGTGCGCCTTCGGCGTGTCCTCAGGTAAGTTTCTCAGATTCATGATCAGTCAGAGAGGGATCGAGGCGAATCCCGAAAAAATCAAGGCCATAATTGACATGGAGAAGTCGAGGACGCAGAAGGACATTCAGAGCCTTACTGGACGTGTCGCCGCCTTAACACTTTTCATCTCCAAGGCTACCGATAAGTGCGTGCCATTCTTCAAAGCCTTAAAAGGGGCAAACAGCATATCGCGTGGACTGCCGAATGCAACCAAGCATTTCAATACTTGAAGAACTATATGGGTAGAGCACCATTATTGTGAAAGCCACTTTCTGGAGAAGTACTATTCCTTTATCTCTAGGTATCCAGCACTGTCGTCAGCTTGGTGTTGATACGGAAGCTGGGGAAAGCAGAACTACCGATCTTCTACGTCAATAAGGCACTGCAGAATGCATAGATTCGGTACCCTCCCTTGGAACAGCTAGCTTTAGCCCTCGTAGTCTCAGCTCGAAGACTTCGCCCATACTTCAAAGCACACAAAATTACAGTGCTAACCAACCAACCGCTTTGGCAGGTACTGCAGAAACCGAAAACGTTAGGCCGATTGATCAAATGGGCAATTGAGTTAGGAGAGTTTGACATACAGTTCAAGCCAAAACCCACGGAGAAAGGACATGTATCGCTGACTTCATCTCCGAGCTTACACCTTCGGTAGCACCGGAACCAACCAATTCAGACGCTGATGCTGGGGAACCAGGCAAGCAGAACACCGAACGCTTCAACCTTTCCGTTCCCATAGGATTCTGCATGTCAACGGTTCGGCAAATCAACAAGGTTGTGGAGCTGGTCTGGTGTTAACTACTCCAGATGGGGCCAAGATCGAATATGCCCTCTGATTCAACTTCAGAACCTCCAACAACGAGGCAAAGTACGAAGCCCTTTTGGCCGGCCTTCGGCTAGCTAAAATCATGAGAGCAAAACATGTTAGCATCCACAGTGACTTTCAGCTCATTGTGAATCAAATAACGGCAGACTTCGTAGCCAAGGACGCCTCTATGTCAGCCGACCTATCGGCAACACACCAACTCTTACAAAAATTCCAGGCCTACGAGATTCGGCAGATCCCCAAGATGGAAAACAGTCATGCCGACGCTCTGGCACGACTAGCTTCGACGATCAATGACAAGGTAGGCAGAAAGGTGCCGGTAGAGATCCTATCTCAAGCTAGCACGAAAACTTCCGAGGTATGTACCATACGGTATAAAAATACATGGATGTCTCCCATCTACGCTTTCTTAACGAACGGTATGCTACCCACCGACAAATCCCAGGCACGGAAGTTGCGGTACTGGTCGGCAAGATACACAGTTATCAACGACGTCCTTTACAAACGCGGCTATACTACGTCTTTTCTGAAGTGCATCACCACTGAAAAAAAGGACTACGTCCTTCGGGAAATTCACGGGGCCGTATGTGGCGACCATTCTGGGTCCTGATCGCTCGTACATAAGGCCTTTCAACAAGGGTATTATTGGCCGACTATGCACCAGGACGCAAACACACTAGTAAAGAAGTGCGATGAATGCCAATGCTTTGGCAACATACCCCACATCCCCGTTGAGCCTTTAACGCCCATTGTAAGCCCATGGCCTTTCGCCTAATGGGGACTGGACTTGATCGGTGCAATGCCGCAAGGCAAAGGCCAGATCAAGTATGTCGTGGTTGCTGTGGACTATTTCACCAAATAGGTGGAGGCCGAAGCTCTGGCAACCATAACAGCAGCTAAGATGGAAGACTTCATCTGGACTCACATTTGCTGCCAATTCGGTATCCCCTATGCAATCATCACCGATAATGGCAGACAGTTTGACTCGGAACTCTTTAGGCAGTTCTGCACTCGCCTCAAGATCAGTCTGTTCTTCACTTCGCCAGCTCATCCCAAGTCAAATGGCCAAGTTGAAGCAATAAACAAAATCATTAAGAAACAGCTGAACAAAACTATGGGATTTACAGATTTTCTTTGTCAAGCACTTCAAAGCAAATCTCAAGACATTGTAAGTGCTTTAAATCTTGTTTCAAGTACAAAAATGAAGCTAGATGAGTTGAGAAATGATGGTTAGGATGGTTTTATCAAGTGTGTGTTATCATTTTGTGAACAACATGACATTTGTGTACCTGATATTAGTGCTCGTCATAAAATGGGTAGAGGTCGTTCTTGTCAACAAAAGGATTCTATTACATTTGAGCATTATTATCGCATTGATGTATTTAATGATGTAATAGATTTTCAGTTGGTGGAGTTAAATACTAGATTTCCGGAGCAAACAGTGGGACTTTTTTATCTGACCTCAGCATTGGATCCTCGTAATTCTTTCATGCGATTTAGCATTGATGATTTATGTAATCTTGCTGAGAAGTTTTATCCTGAAGATTTTACTACAACTGAGTTGCAGGCTTTAAATCAACAATTGGGATTTTATAAGATTGATATGGACCGTCTTCCAGCCTTCAAGAATCTTGATTCCATTCCTGAATTGCTGAAGTGTTTACTTGATACAGGGTTAGCACACACCTACCATTTGGTTGATAGATTGATTCGTTTGGTGTTAACTCTTCCTATTTCTACAGCAACAACAGAACGTGCATTTTCATCTATGAGACTTATCAAAAATCGACTTCGGAACAAGATCGAGGATGAGTTTCTTGCTGATTGTATATTACTTCACATTGAAAAAGAATTTGTTGATAGTATTGATAATGAATCACTAATTAGTGATTTTAACTCTTTGAAGTCTCGGAGGGTGCAACTTCAATAGTTTTATTTTGTGTTTGCATTGCATATTATTTATTGTTGCCTTTGTTTACTAGTTTCTATCTTATGTACTATATGCATTTTGAGGGGTACGGCTCATTATGTCCCCCCCTGACTAGGTGTATTATTTTTTGTTATTAATTAAATTCACTCGTGCCGTCGAGTTTTATTGTAAGGTAAATTCAGCCCATGCCATTTTGAATTCCTGGATCTGTCCCTGCTGGTCGCCCTGGGCCAGGGCCGCCTCTGACGCTACACAGAATCACCGTCATGGTTATAGGGTGTTTGTGAAAGAGATGTTCGTCTGGAAATTGCATCTGAACCAACGTGATGGCTGTGGGAATGGTGAAGGCAAATATGCACGACAATAATATTACTACTCTGACCATTAATAAGAGCGTCATGATCAAAATGATTCATTGCCATCTTACTTACCAGGCTCCTCTCCTATAGTAGTGTATGGAGAAAAGGCAAATGTACAAGTCTGTATTTGTTCCGTGCTACAGCTATCAAAAGTTCAAATGCACCAAGGGCAAGACAAGGACTTATTAAGACACTTGTATACTACTCAACCCATTCCATATGACGGAATTAAGTTAATTATGAACAAAAAAGGGTCCATTGCAACCATTGAAGGGTCAGTTAACTTACGTACTACTCAACCCATTCCATGTGACGAAATTGTTCAGCCCATCCTTCATGTATTTTTAAATTTTATACAAATTTTAAAAGACACTGGTGGAGACAAAATTATAAATTTATAATGGGAACAACGAGTTAAAGATATGGATGGAGTTTTACAGACAGACCACTAAAGAATTTGGAGATTTAATTATGAATTTATATACATATATATAATAATAATAATAAACCCCATTTGCTTCCTAAGCACGATCATCATGATCTTCAGCAACAACAATGGTGTTGACCCGCTCACATTCGTCTATCCATTCACTGTACACGTCTATGGGTCAAAGGTGTGATGGTTGTGCTGAAACTCTCTTGGCAAACGCTGCAGAGAGCCTCCCCAATCATGTTCTTCATGTCAGTGTCGCATTCAACGCTGCTCCCGTGGTTGCAGAAGGGGCAACAGAATGCTGTGTCAAGCTTCTCCATTCGCTTCTTAGCAACAGGCTTTGCCCTCGACGACTTTCTCTTCCCCATTCTTATTCAACAATTTTATGTCCCCCCTGAGTGTTTGTTTATGGCAACTTCTGTATGTTGTTTTAACCTTCTCCACAAAGAGGTTTTATTTTTTTATTAAATATTTTTTTATTAAATATTTTTTTTTTTTATCGATACCACAATGAGGTATTTATACAAAGCAACAAAGTCCTAATTTTACAAGGAAATGAGGTTTATTGGAGAATTAAACCAAATATGTATAATTATTGCATTCAAGAAGTTTCAATATGTTGAGTCTTTTCTTATTCTATGATTCAATAAGTTCACGTATTAATGAATTGAATAAATTGCCAGTTTTATGAGTTAGTGGGTTGGTGAAGAGTCTAAGATATAAGAGTGGGTTAATCAGTTATGATAGGAGAAGTCTTTAAATAGGTCCTTTATCATTGTTATTTGTGTGGTGTGCTGAATTATAATGGAAGAGCCTATTCTTCTAAGAAACTAGTGTCCATTTGTTTTATTTTATTTCTCTTACTCCCACAAATTGGCATCAGAGCCTAGTTGAAACACTTTCAATATGGCAAATGCAAACTCAAGCAACGGGCACAATTTGGCTTCACTTATTCCTCGATTCAACGGCGACAACTATGACTATTGGAGCAACAATGTGAAGGTGTTGTTAAAATCCATGGAATTGTGGAATATGGTTGAAGACGGCTATGAGGAGCCTGAAAATGAACTTACACTCACTCAAGCACAAAGAAATGCATTGAAGGAAAATTGAAAGAAGGATAGTAAGGCCCTTTTCCACATCTATCAAACAATTGAGATGTCGGTGTATGAGAGAATTTCCAAAGCTGCAAATGCAAAGGAAGCATGGGAAAAAATTCAGATGACCTATCAAGGCGAACAAAGTGTGAAGAAGGTTCGACTCCAAAATTTGAGGAGAGAATTTGAGAAGTTGGAGATGCAAGAAAGTGAAAGCATTGAAAAGTATTTCACAAAGGTTACAACAATTGTTAATCTAATATCGTCAAATGGAGAGATTTTGGAAGATGCAAGAATTGTTGAAAAAGTCCTTCGTAGTTTACCACCGAAATTTGATTATGTTGTGGCTGCCATTGAAGAGTCAAATGATATTTCTGCTCTTTCCATAGAAGATTTGCAAGGAAAATTGGAGGCCCATGAAATCAAAATAAATTTGAGGAATCCTCCTCCCACACAATCGGATCAAGCTCTAAAGACTCAAGTTACAACTACGGGAGGCAATAGAAATCAAGCTACTGGTTCTAGTCAAAGCTACGGTCGCGGTCGAGGCCGCGGTCGAGGTGGTAGAGGCGGAAGAGGAAGAGGAAGAAATTCTAATTTTCAAAGTGGAAGAGGCTCATCAAACAATTCAAGTGATGGTGAGAAAAATTCCAGTTCTTCATCATCATATAGGGGAAGAGGACTTGGTTATTTCAAGTGTTATTATTGTGACAGGCCTGAGCACGTAATGAGAAAGTGTTCTTACAAAATGGGGCAGCTGGGTTTATGCATGAAAGCAAGGTTGGAGATGGAGAGTCCAAAGAAACTTTATTGCTCGCATGTCATGGAGATAGTATGGATGATGTGTGGTATCTAGACAGTGGAGCTAGTAAGCATATGACTGGTAACAAAAACCTTTTTTCATCTCTCTCTGAAATTGATCATGGACAAGTAACAATTGGTGATGCTAGAGCCTATAAAATTAGGGGAGTAGGTGAAGTCTCTTTTAAATCCAAATCTAGAAAAATTGAGAAGATGGCTGAAGTTTATTATGTTCCTGGCTTAAAGAGTAATTTGCTAAGTATAGGTCACCTTTTGAAGAAAGAATATGATATTAACTTGCATAACAACACCTGTTTTTTGTCAAAGAAAAATCAAATTGTTGCAAAGATAGGTGTTGCTGCAAATAATTTGTTTCCCCTCAGACTTCAGACAACAAATTTGTCTTGTTTTGTTGGTATTGAGAAAGGAATTTCCAAGCTTTGGCATGATAGATATGGGCATCTGAACTATGCAAGTCTGAAGTTGTTGTCAAGTAAAGAGATGGTAGATGGGCTGCCTCAAATTGATCATATAGATGATGTTTGTGAAGAATGCCAACTAGGCAAGCAGCATAGGAATTCATTCCCTGCACATTTCTAATGGCGAGCAAAGAAGCCGCTGGAACTTGTTCATTCTAATTTATGTGGTCCAATGTCAGTAACATCTCATGGAGGTAACAAGTATTTTATCTCATTTATTAATGATTTCTCAAGAAAAGTTTGGGTTTATTTCCTTAAAGAAAAATCTGAGGCATTTCAAGCTTTCAAAGATTTCAAAGCTGAGGTTGAGAAATTTGTGGGTTTTCCAATTAAAACTTTGAGGACTGACCATGGAGGAGGATATCTCTCCAATGAGTTTGAAAAATATTGCAGAAATCATGGAATAATGCATCAGTTGACAACTCGTTACACACCACAACAAAATGGTGTGAGCGAAAGGAAAAACCGAACTATCATGGATATGGTAAGAAGCATGCTGAAGAAGAAAAATTTGTAGAAAGGAATGTGGGCTGAAGTCGTGGCATATGCAGTTTATTTGATCAATCGATCACCAACAAAAGCTTTTAATGATTGCACACCTTATGAGGCATGGTATGGAACGAAACCAAGTGTTTATCATTTGAGAATTTTTGGAAGTGTTGCCTATACTCATGTTCCAGATGCAATAAGGAATAAGCATGATGACAAGTCAGATAAATGCATTTTTATTGGATATAGTGAAAGAAGCAAGGCCTACAAGCTGTACAATCCAAAGACAAAGAAATTCTTGGTGAGTCGAGATGTTCAATTTGATGAATACTCTGATTTTTATAATCATGGTGCAACATCAACTCTTCAAGATGATAGTGATGATTATTGTCACTCCACCAATGACTCTACCCAAAGTTCTCCAAGATCAGCAACAAATGGCAGTGAAGGCCCTTCCCAAACTCAGATAAAGATGAGAAGTTTAGAAGAAATTTATGAATTTGCTCGGCATGTAGATTTGCTTAATGAAGCTGTAAATTTTGCTTTCTTTGCAGGAGAAGACCCAATTTCTTTTGATGATGCATCCAAAGAAGAAAAATGGAAGATAGCCATGGATGAAGAAATAAAAGCCATTGAAAAAAATGATACATGGGAGCTCACAGATTTACCATAGCACAAGGATCCTATTGGTGTGAAATGGGTGTACAAAACAAAGATGAATCCAGATGGGTCCATAAATAAATACAAAGCGAGGCTTGTGGCGAAAGGAACAAACAAAAAGAAGGAGGAGATTATACTGAGGTATTTGCTCCTGTTTCTAGGCTTGACACCGTTTGTTTAATCATTTCTCTTGCAGCGCAAAATAATTGGAAGATGTTTCATTTCAAATGGATGTGAAGTCTGCATTTTTGAATGGTGTTCTTAATGAAGAAGTTTACTTAGAGCAACCACCTGGATATGTAAAGAGAGGAGAAGAGAAGAAAGTTTTCAAGTTGAGAAAGGCCTTATATGGTCTTAAGTAGTCACCTAGAGCTTGGTATAGCCGCATCAATTCATATTTTGAGAAGAATGGTTTTTAGAAATGTCCGTATGAGCATACTCTCTATATTAAAAACAATTCGCAAGGAAAATTCATGATTGTAAGTCTTTATGTTGATGATCTGATTTTTACCAGAAATAATCTTGATATGTTGAATGAGTTCAAGCTCTCCATGATGACAGAATTTGAGATGATAGATTTAGGAGAACTAGATCATTTTCTTGGTATAGAAGTTCACTAGTCTAAAAAAGGAATTTTCATTTCGCAAGAGAGTTATGTGAAGGAAATTTTGAAGAAGTTTCG